GATCAATAAATGTCAGAAAATTGTGAAAAATGTCAATCACAATTTCCTAAAACCCATGGTGATGTCTTCAAATTGCTTGTTTTATCCAAAACTTCCAGTTTACCATCACAAGACAAACAAAAGAACAAAACCATCATAATTGAAAAGCTGTAACCAGCTTTTTCTGCTTAATGAATAAAATATAAATCAATTATAAAAATATTTGCTGATAGTTGCTGATTCAGTTTGAATTTATCGACTCATTGTTTCAATCCTAATGTGAAATCTATGGATATTGTGATATCTCCCACCCCACGAGACATCAATAAAGCAAAACCCTGATTATCAGAAAAAACAGACATCTAGTACACACCTCTTCCTTTGCAGTCAAAAATACAGATATGTGCAAGGAAACTGTACAAAACCCATAACTGCACGTAAAAGGAGCATCTCAGTTGGTGTATGTAAACATACACTGTGACATCCATCCACACATACTCTGTGCACAGCATTATTCTACACACAAACAGATCTGGGTTCCCAGGGATCGACGGTAAACAGGTTGCATTGAAGTGCTACGAGATCTTTCGTTGGCACATGAGGAGTTACATTTACAGTATTCACATCTGAGGTTAAATAATCACTTGTCATGCGTTTCCTAAAAACAAACAGTTTTGTAAAAAATAAAGGTCTCACATTCCATTTGGATATAGGTTTGTTTCGTTTCTGTCCATGTGTTGAAATTAGATTCATGGTTTAGCAAAAAGAACAGTTTCAAATGGCATTCACTTAACTATATATATGAATTTCTCCCGTTGAAGTATGATTGGTTCTTATACTATACAGGATGCATGAGCAGTAAGAATTAACAGGAAGCATTCTGCGATTGGCATCGAGTTAAATAAAACTGTAAAACAAAACAAAAATAAACATGCTACTAAAGGTACTCCAACAAGAGTCACAATAAAGCTGACTGACTGAGCAATCCTCTGAGTCGGATCCCAAACCTGACACACTCTAGTGAACAATGCAGCTAGAAAGAGTGACAGCATGAGGAATAAAACGCTTCTTAAGTCAATAAATAAATTAAAACCAAACCTGAATAGATATGAGGAAGTGACCAAAAGACTGTGATTTTTGGGCATTTAAATGGCCTCGGGCCAAGAGAGCTGTCGATCTGCTGCAACACCCCAGATAAAGAGGTGTTCCTCTGACATCATCCTCTCCCTTTGGTGCCTCAGTTTATGGCTGTCCGACCAGCCCTGCAGCAGTCTCATAGAGGGAGTTCAGCGGACCCCCAGGCTGGCCAGCAGGCCTTTGTGGGGGAAGGGGGATCAGCTCAGTAGGAGAGGACTGGTGCAGGATTTGGGTGGGTTGGCTGTAAAGTTCTTCTGGAGGATGATGGGTGGGGGTACGCTTAGGTCCGCACCCAGCTGACAGGCACCCAGAAGGACTCCCGCTCCAGCCTCTCCAAGATACCTCGCAGTTCTGCACAGGCACTGGCCGAGTCCTCCTTGATCAAGACCCGGTCCACCAGGTGTCCATACTGCTGATCAATCTGAATGGCAGACTGACGCATCTCCTGGAGGTCTTCGTCCTGTTGCAGAAAGCAAAATGAAATTATTTATACCGAAAGAGAGAGACAGGATCACACTGACCACCTTACTCACCAGGTTTAGCCCTAGCTGTGTACCGATACAGACGCAGGAACCTCTGAGGGATGCATCACATAAACATGAGTGCTATGGATGCTGAATCCACCTTCACAAGAGTCAAGTTACTTGTTAAATTGTCTAACATGTCTAGCTAAACAACCAGCCCATAGCACAAAAGCTACTTGTGGCTGCAGTTGATGGCAGCATCATGTTTCACAAATAACTGTCAGTTGCATATTGCAGATAATATTGTGAGTCCTGCTGGGCTCTTTCATGCTCATGCTCGGGTTGTAAGAATGTTTTGATTCCATAAAATGTGAGAAGAGGAAATGATCTCAAGTAGCAAATCACTGTTTTTTTAAAGATTCTTTTTGGGGTTTTTATAGCAGCTGAAGAGAGACAGGAAAGTGGGGACACAGACAGGTGGGAAGACATGCAGCAAAGGGCAGCAGGTTGGAAACAAACCCAGGCCGCTGCAATAAGGAGTCAGCCTTATTGCAGCGGGGCACAGGCTCTACTGGGGGAGCTGCCAAGGCGCCCTGCAAATCACAGCCTTTGAGTAATCAGAATTCATGTGACTATCACGTCACTCTAAATGTACGTTCCTCATACGTCACACTTCAGCATCGTGAACTGTTCACACTGGAATCAGATATGGGCCACATTTAAAAAAAAACGTGAACAGCCAAACAAAGTTGCAGTGTGAAATTAGCCTTTGTCTGTACTGCCTTAGTTTGCTGCTAAGTTTGGACTAAAGACGCCTTCTAAACCTCTGCATTGGGACACAGCTATTATACTGCCAAGAGAAAACTCAGGACTTACTGTAACGCGGCCATGCTCTCCCCCTCCTGGTGAGGTGGCAGCGCTGCGACGACGTCTGCTCTCGGGAACACGAGGTTTGACAAATATTACATAGGGCTTGAACTCCGCTGTCCGCAGCCTCTTCAGAGCCTGGAGTGGGTTTTACATGCAACAGAGCAAATGGAGGTCAGAAATCCGACATGATAGGGGAAAGCCAGCAGTGATGCATCAGACACTGCACACAGTGAGCAGATCTGAAGTGACTGCCTGCCCTCATCCACTAAGGCACTCAGCAAACTGCTGCTGCTTGCAGGATCTGTAGTTCATGACATGTTATGATCCCCTTACCTCAGGCTGCACGTCCACTATACACATCTTATTCTTGGCCTGTACAGAGCGGATAGCTTCTATACTTGTGCCATACTGGTTCTCCTTATATTCCCCATGCTCTATGAACCTGGGGAGACAACAAGACTTTAAGTTCAGCTGGAGAATCATATTTCATCAGTCATATATGTACAAAAGCAATGCAGTATCAGCATAAACGTACTTGTTGTTTAAAGCGTCTGCATCAAATTGCTGTTTGGTGACAAAGTGGTACTCCACACCTTCCTTCTCATGAGGTTTCTTGGGTCTTGTGGTATCTGTGGGAACACAAAAGAGGAACTTATCTGTGTATGTAATATCAGGGCATTGATAAATACAGAGTGTTTAAATGGGTAACTCACGTGGTACAGCCACTGCAAAACGATGTGGGTTTTCAGCAATCACCCGCTGTTTGAGTTCATTGATTCGTGCTCCAAGAGAACCTTTCCGATTGTGTTTTTAAAGGAGAGAAATAAACAATGGTAAACTTCACAAGCATCATTATGGTGACATAGAAATGGGTCATCTGTATGTTGCAACACATGCTTTGATCCACTAGGTGTCACTAGCATCACAGGAGAACGCTTGTGCCTTTCAGTGGGTCAGTCTCACCGATCAGGACCACCAGACGGGGCCTCTCATGGGGCCTCTGCTGGTAGCGGGTCACCTCTTCATAAGTGAGGAAGTCGGGGTCTCCAGGATCAGAACCTTCTCCGGAGGATCCTTGCCTGTCCTTACGACTGAGCCGGAAACTCCTCCGTAAACCAGCTACAGCAAGGCCGGAGATGGGAGGGAAAAAGGAGCAGAAAGAAAGTAGGTCTTGGGTCAGATATCATGAACCACAAAATTATTTACACAAGATTACATATCATGAGTACACTTCACTTCCATGATGCAGTTATAGTTTTGCATTTAAAAACAGTTATTAGACAAGTGCAGTGAGCAAACATTGAATAAATTCAAGACCAACCCATTGATAACCATGCATTAAAAAACCTTTGTAAATAGTGCCTATGGATGAATAGCTCACACTTAATCTTAAGTTTAAGTACTTGATAGTGTGAGATATGAGCTGAATTTAGAGCCAATCATGCTTTAACTGATTACATGCAGCTGACACTTTATACATCAGGTGACACTCCTAAAGCCTGAGACTGAGGCAGACTCCATTATAAGCAAAAAAATGTTTAAATTTATTTAAAAAATTGACTCTTTCAGCAGTTCAAAACAGATTCCAGTTACCTAAAATACACATAATTGTCCAACATTAAGGTCCAAACAAGGCATGCTGCTTTGAATGAGGCTACAGTGCTGAGGCAGGACAGACAGGACAGCCTGGCCCTGAGAAACACCACGTCAAATAGCAGCGAGTGACTGCAAATCAGGGTCTCCCATGGCCAGGACTGTCTGTATCCCCCATCAGTGGTGTGTACCTGAGGGAATGAGCCGGGCACTGTACCTGAATAAAATTCCCAGGAAAACACCTGGCCACAGGAGGGCGCCACTGCTTTACACTTAGGAGAGACTATAACTGGCGTTAGAGCATCACACAACCCAGCCTCACACCTCCACACAGGGTGAACGAGCAGCAAACGTGCCTGGTTGAGTGTGCAATGCGTCCAACGCAGCAGGGCCCTCATGGGGGGGGGCAGGGAGGGGGTTTTGGGGAAGGTCGGGAAGCAGTGCACTGGCCACAGCACAGCAGCAGGGGCAGGGGCAGGGGCAGTTAGTTAGATGCAGGGAGGGAGGGAGGGAGGTTTAGGAGGATCCAAACACTGCAAGGTGGAGGGGGCGGGCGGAGGGATGGAGA